TCCAAGGAGCGGGGTCTGGCATACCCTTCTTCGATAAACAGACAGGAAAAGGGCCGCGTTTTCCCCAGAGGCTAGGATCCCGCTTCTCATTTCCTCCGACTCTACCCTGTAGAGTGCACACTGCCGTTCTGCACCTTCAAACCCAGCTGTGCTCTGGCCCTTCCGTAGACCGTAGACCTCTTTTCTGCTGTGGATTACAAGATTGAGGGGCGAGGTTTCAGGAAGAGAGCCTGTCTTCATTCATTCCTGCCATAGCAAAATGCCTGAGAGTGGGTAATTTATAAGGACATAGATTTAGTTCTCTGAGTTCTGGAGGCTGGAAGTCCCAGATCAGCCAGCAGTGTTGGTGTTTGCTAAGGCTCCCTATGGCTTCATGGGTGGCGCTTCTTGCTGTATCTCCACATGCCAGAAGGACAGGAAGAGAGAATAGCTCCTCTGCAACTCTTTATTTTTTATTATTATTATTTTTTTAATTGTCAGATGGCACGTACACTCACCAAGCACCCCTCTGTGGGAAGTGGTCACACTGTAATCCCTTCTCCATTTTTCTATTCTATTGGGATTTGAGGCACATACACACACCCGTATGCCTAGCATGTTTTTCAAGCCAGTGGTCCAGGATTCAAAGTGATCAGCCATGTAGGATCTTGTCCTCTGGGGTTGACACTGAACACTCCCTACCTGCCTTGCATCTATTAATATTTATAAGGTCACTAATTCCATCTATGAGGGCTTATCCTTCATGACTTACGTCCTGACCCCTCCTCTTTTAATATTATGACACTGATGAAGCTTCAACGTATGAACTTGTGGGGGACACATTCAGACTCAGCCAGCTACAAGTCACCAGCTGCTGGCCTCAGCCCAGAGAAAGGTTCCCGGCAGGCCTGGGAGAGTCCACTGAGGTCCTCCCTGCCCAGGGAAGACCTGTGGTCTCAAGGACAGCCTACCTCTACCTTTTGGGGCTGCATGGAGACCACAGGAGTTGTAGTTTAAGGGGATCAAGCTGTACATGGAAGAAAAATCCCATCTCTCAAAACTCTGTATGCCCCAGGCCTCCATGCGATCCACTTCCTCCATCCGGGAGCCCTGAGCCCTGAGAGTAGAGTACACTCCCGTGTCACCTAGCTTGGCTCTCACTAGGGAACGAACCTCACTTC